CTGGCAGAGAAGCAGGTGCATTCAAACATTGAACTTGGCACACACTTACGTCATTTTTTAGTGCTCCTCCACTCCACTCCCCCCCTCCCCCTCTCCCCCTCCCCCCCCCCACCTTTGTGTCCCGCTTGTTATTTCCGTTTTTTGCTTTCTTTTTTGTAGGTTTTATTTTCATGTTCTGAAATAGACTGTGTAATACTTTGACCTTGCCCAGGTATTGCTGTGTGTTGTATGTCCTGCCAGATGGACCGTGCGTTTGAAATTTTCGAGGAGATGAAAAATGACAAAAGAAATCCTCCCGATGGAGTTACGTACAGCACGTTGATCACCGCCTGCGGGCAAGCGCAGCAGGTGCGTGGAAGGTACAGGAACAGGCACGGATCTGTTCATCATGGCTGTTGAATTCTGGTTTCCATCCTTGTTGTCAATCTTGCTTTCGCCTATGGGGGTCTGTCCTCGGTTTGCTTTTCGTCTCTGCCTGGCTCGGGTCCAGCTCTTTTCCAGCTGGATTTTGGCTTGGCTTTGGCTGTACTGCCACACTATGGCTGCTGTGTTTCAGCTTTCTTCTGTCTGCGCTCTCGTCATGGCTGTGACCCAGATCTGTCACGACTCTGTCTTGGTTCTGTCACGGTTTTATCACGGCTCTGTTGGAACTCAGTTGCAGCTGTATTGTGACTCTGTTGTGGCTCTCTCAGGGCTCTGTTGGAACTCAGTTGGAGATGTATTGTGGCTCTGTTGTGGCTCTGTTGTGGCTCTCTCAGGGCTCTGTCAGCGCGCAGTTGCACTGCTATTGTGGCTGTGTGTTGGGGGTGTGCTGCAGGTCTACTGTGGCTCTATTGCAACCCTTTTCGGGCTCTGCTTTGGCTCTGCTGAAGCCTTGTTGCAGCTTTGCAATGGCTCTGCTGCAGCTCTGTTACGGTTCTGTTCAAAGCTCTCTTGCAGCTCTCTTAGTGCCTGTTGTGACTATGTTGCTGCTCCGTGCGGCTCTGTTGCTCAGCGGTGCTGGGACACTGTTGTAGCACCATTGGAGCCTGTTTATAGTTGTGCTACGGCTAAGTTGCAGATCAGTCGCTGCTCTCTATTGTGCCTCACGTGCAGCATGTGTCATTGATCATCCTAGCTCTGTAGTGTGTTTTCAGTTTCGACACAAGCAATGGTTAAATGTGGCAGGGATGCAACATTAGGCCTTTCAGTTTTCTACCATAATGGAGCATGAACTTCTGATTGCTGCCTCTGACAATGGACATGCAACAGTGAAGATCACAAGCTGGTCTTTCTGTCTGTTATATTATTTGCAATGGTTGCCATCTTGGCCAAGGCAATGCTTTCAAGAGCGCCAGACATCCTCTGTGTGTGTGTGTGTGTGTGTGTGTGTGTGTGTGTGTGTGTGTGTGTGTGTGTGTGTGTGTGTGATGATGTTTGTGAACACATATTGCGGACACCTATACGCATCTGAGTGGAGTCAAGTCTAAAGGCAAGGAAGAGACACCAATGACACACACAGGCCACAAACAGCAAGGCAACACACAGGCTGGAGGGCGCGGGGGAGGGGGGGGTCCAGGCAACACACAAGCAACAAAAAAATGAACAAGGGCTGGAAGGCACGAGGGATATAGGACGGCAGACAACACACAAGCACACAAGGTAGGCAGATCAGAAAACAGTACAAGTCGAAAAAAGAATCAGAGACCCCAAAAAAAAAAAAACAAAAAAAAAACCGATGATGAGAGATTGTTTCGTCGGAATTGCACCAACTCATCAGGAGGCTGAACCCTCGACAATCTGCGGAATCTCCGTATTTGATCGTTTGGGTCATGAACCCTTTGACCCTTGTTGAAGGCAGACTGTCCCCAAGCGGAACATGGCAGCGGGCAGCAACCCTGTGGAGCACCAGGCAACACAGTAGAGGCGACACGGCTGCACAACGCCAAAAACGACTGCAAGGAACGACATGGCACGCAGGACATGCAACATGGCAACCGTGTAGTGAAGCACAAGACAACACAAACAAGGCAACCACACTGCAAGGGACGACAGGGCGAGCGGACCAGCAGCTCGGCAACGGTGGAGCAAAGCACAAGGCATCAGCAACAAGGCAACCGTCCAACAGGCCCGCAAGCAGCAAACAAGGAAGGCACAACCAGCGGAAGGGCAGCGGAGCAGCGAAGCGCGAGGCAACACCAACGACACGGCCACACCACACAGCGAACACATCAACCTGCAAGGAACCACATGCGAAGCAAGCGGGACAGGCAGCAGGGAAGCGGCGGAGCGCAGATGAGGCCGTCCACACATCCAACATGGAGCCAAGCTGCACATGACCTACTCACATCATGATTTAACCCCGCAGACTGTTGGTTCCCACCACCCACTGAGCCAGGGAGACAAACCGACTAGCAGCCGTCATCACCCACAGGCAACACAGACACCCCGAACCGAACGTCCCTCCTAAGAGTAGGTACACTCCAGATGTGGAACCACCGACTGTTTGGCACTACTTAAGGGTGCTCAGTTGGGCACACAGAAAAATACTTCAGAAAAAATCAGAGGGAGGACAGATAACAGGAAAAAGCCTGACAGACATAAAACTGATTGTGTGTGTGTGTGTGTGTGTGTGTGTGTGTGTGTGTGTGTGTGTGTGTGCGTGTGTGTGTGTGTGTGCGTGAGAGAGAGTGAGAGAGAG